ATTTAACAGCCATTTTTTGGAATGAGGATCAAATTTAGACTTTTGTGTTATAAAATGTCTGTTATATAAAAGGTTACTAACAAGGCATGTTAATAAGCATGTGTCATTAAGATGGAGACATGAAACGCACATAATCATGCTCCCCTCCTGGGTGTGCACATAGTAGTCACACGTCAATGGGTGGAACAATGACTGGGACAGACCAGTACAAGTTTAGCCCAGAGCAAACTTATTATGTAAATCTTGTTAAAAAATGTAATATTTTGTGGTAGCATTTTCATCTATCATTCTGATAGAGTAGATAGTTAGAGACCATTTCCACTGGCAGCAAGGTCAGTCACTCAAGGACAGAATTCGGATAATTTAGGAAAGAATGAGAAGGGAGATAAGGTGAATTCGTTTGATATTATGAGTTCCTAAAATATGTAATTCACTGCTCGAAGGGGTGAAGAATGCCAGTTCAGTTGTCACTTTCTGAATTGAATTGGACAAATACTTGAAAAGGAAACCCATGAAGGGCTGTGGTGAAAGAGGGAGTGGGAACAACTAAACTACTCCCTCAAAGAACTGACAAAGGCAGGATGGGCCAAATGACCTCCAATTACGCATAACAAAACCTAAGATTCTATGATCTACTGTATCCTTACATATTTTAATTCATTTTTACAACATAAATATAATTTTATGCCCTGTAAACTTACGCTTTTTTAAATTCGCTTTTGGCGGCTGCACTTGCTTCTCTGTGCAAAATGCACCATTGTCCTGTTGAGGATGGTCGATAGGCAAATGCAAAAGAGATTTGATCTGTGCACTGCAACTTCTTCTGACAGCATAACTTTCGACTGAATAGCAGTAAACAGCTTCTGCAAAGACTCAACTGGCTACCCCTGAACATGTGCCTCGAACAACCATACTAAACACAATTAATTGTGGCTAAATGAACCATGTGCTCTTAATGTTATGCTATGAAAGTCCCCTGTCTATATGCGCTGTTGAGATTAAACCCAGATGATAGCTTTTTTTGAGCGAAGTATGAATGTGTGTCAGAGGTTGGATACTAGTTTAGAACTTCACAGTGACATAGAAAACAATCACTCAATCAGATGCCGAGGACTTCTGACACTTACATAGGTTTGTACCACCAGAAGTCACCACCTGCAGAATAAAGGGCAACAGAAAATCAGAAGGGGGAGCAGAAGAAGTAATGAAATTATCTGTCATCAGTTAAGAATCCAATTTATATGCTCTATTAACCTAGCCTATTTGTCCACATCCTCCATCTGCAATTTTTTTTCCCATTCTATGATAGCACTTAACTCTGGTAACAATTGGACCCAATACCTGCATGTGTGATTTGATGTTTTCTCCAAAGCAGACACCCCACATAGATAAGAGCTAACAAGATGTAGAGCTGGATGAACACAGCAGGCCAAGCAGCATCAGAGGAGCACGAAGGCTGACGTTTTGGGCCTAGACCCTTCTTCAGAAATGGGGAGGGGAAGGGGGTTCTGAAATAAATAGGGAGAGAGGGGGAGGCGGATAGAAGATGAATAGAGGAGAAGATAGGTGGATCCGCCTCCGCCTCTCTCCCTATTTATTTCAGAACCTGCCTGTCCCCTCTCCACCTATCTTCTCCTCTATCCATCTTCTATCCGCCTCCGCCTCTCTCCCTATTTATTTCAGAACCTGTCTGTCCCCTCTCTACCTATCTTCTCCTCTATCCATCTTCTATCCGCCTCCCCCTCTCTCCTTATTTATTTCAGAACCTGTCTGTCTCCTCTCCACCTATCTTCTCCTCTATCCATCTTCTATCCGCCTCCCTCCTCTCCCTATTTATTTCAGAACCCCCTTCCCCTCCCCCATTTCTGAAGAAGGGTCAAGGCCCGAAACGTCAGCCTTCCTGCTCCTTTGATGCTGCTTGGCCTGCTGTGTTCATCCAGCTCTACACCTTGTTATCTCAGATTCTCCAGCATCTGCAGTTCCTACTATCATAGATAAGAGCTTGTTGTTTAGGATAAATATATCATTTATAAAGGAAAGTAAGACCAGCTTGTTGTTTAGGATAAATATGTCATTTATAAAGGGAAAGTAAGACCAAAGTGGACCTGGCATCATTCACCATGAATTCTACACTGCAAAATCAATTTAAACCAGGTTGAGATGAAGTTGTTACATTAGATCCACTCCAAATATAATGCATAATGAGAGGGCTCAAGATCACATTTGTTTAATACACACTATGTTCCTTTTGGTGATTGTCCATAGTGTGCACTAAATATTTGAAAATGCTTTGGGAAACAAGATAGATTGAGCATCAAATGTACTATGTGGAACATATTCATCTGATTCATGAAACAGGGTTTGTTGAGTATTGTAACTTTCATTCTGGTATCGGACTGGTTCTTGAGAAGTTATGTGTTCAATTCCCACCATGGCAATTAAAGTGAATTCAGTAAAGCTGATAATAGACAACAGATAGGACAATCCAATTAAAACAAGATTAATGTCATTAAAGGAAAGTAGCAATTTCCAGCATTACTAGTGTGGCCTACATGTGACTTCAGTCTCACGCTGTCGTTGATTCTTAATTTGTGCCAGATTTTAATTTGTAAGTGAGTAATTTAAAATTTTGCTTTTAATGTCTTCAGGTCTTTCAGGACAAACACAGCCTTGTCAATGTCACCCATGTTCTAATGAAAGAAAAATCCCCTAGTACTCTCTTCTGAAAGCCCTGTGGCAAATGTACTGTTTCACATTGATAGAATTCTGTTGGCAGCTGTATTGTATAAAATTGGGGAATTCTGAAGATCAATTGGCAGTAGAGACTTACATCTTCCTTGACTTGTGGCTAAATTCAGGTTTCCATGTAAACCTAAATGTACAGAAGCAAATTACTTCTTTTCCACCACCACAGGTCTCCAGCCTCTAAATGGTAAAGTGATAAATAGGAGAGGGCTATACATGGATAAGAAAAGGATGCCACTTAATTGCTGGTCCATGTGGCCCGACTTTATCATCTAAATTTGCCAAAACTTCCTGAGTCATTGAATTCGAATTCTGCAACATTGACTCAGCGTAAGCACTCTCTAAAACTACGTGTGGATCTTGCAGTCAAATAGTTTGCCTAATGCAGGGTGTTGGATCTATGATCAACAGGTACATTTCACAAGCAGCCTGAAATCCTTTCATTATCACTCCCTGATAGTCTATAGTAGGTGCTTTTGTGAATAGGATTGTAGTTTCTTTTAATAGCTGCGTATGATAACCACGCCATACACACTAAAGCATGTGTCACAGTCTGCCTCAGTCATTCCAGTCTTATCACCTGTTCTTGATTCACCTCTGAGCTTGCCAAGTTGCTGCCTTTTTCTTTCCAAAACAGTTGAGGTTGTTATGTAGTATTTAAGTGTGAATGGGCTTATCTGAATTTGTCATTGAGTGTTGTCAAGGATATTACACAACATATTAACTATTTCGCTGCTGATTCTCTGTTAAAATCTGCAGGCATGGGTACCATAGATCAGTGTGTAATTACAACAAAGAGATTGGTCTGAATTATACAGTTCAAAAATGTTCAGTTTGACCTCTGACTTTGCTGAGTTAACTGGGCAAATACACACACAAGTATCAAGTTTATGGCTCAGGAACAGCTTATTCTACCTGACATATCTCCTCCCCACCTACTTCACCTCATCCTGTTAACTTTTCCTTTGATTCCATTCTCTTTCATGCATTTATCAGCTTTCTGCTAGATGCATCGATACCATTTACCTCAGCCATCCAAAGGGGTAGTGAATCCCACCTTCACACCACGTGGAGTCAAGAAGTTTCTCCTAATTTCTTTCATTCATGAATAGGAAATGCAATCCTAGAATAATAGAATGACAAAGCATAGAATGACAAAGCCAGAGACCACTCTTCCCATTGTGTCTGTCATGACTCTTCAAAACACTATCCAGTTCATTTGTTCTCCCACCTGTCTCTCTCCCCATGTCCCTGTTAATATATACAGTTCCCTATTGACAATTCTTATTGACTCAGTTCCCCCACACTTTCAGGTAGTGCATTCAAAATCTCAAATCAGTGCAAAAAGACAAAAAAAAAAACAACTTAGCTTTTTTTTTGGGGTCAATCACCTTAAATTTATGTCCTCTTGCTTGATTGGCTTTTCTGCTACCAGAAGCACTTGCTTGTATACTATTTAGGAATGAGAACATCCCTGAAATCTTTTCTGCTGTGAAAAATCCCAGTTTCTGTAGCCTGATAACTCAAGTCTTTTATCCTCAACAGATTTCCTAAAGTGTGGTGCCCAGAACTGCACACAAAAAGCCAGTGTTTAAACATCTTGTTTTGGCAATCTACGCCTCTATTTATGTGTTACAGAGCCCGAGTCTTTTCAAACAACCACCCGAACTTGTTCTGCCATTTTCAAATATTTGTGTATGCATATGCCCAAGACTCTTTGTACCCTTACTCTTTAGCATTACACACAAATAAAAATGAAGTACAGCTGATGCTGGGGGGTCCAAAATAAGAACAGAAAATGCTGTGAAAACTTCATCAGGATGGCAGTATCTGTGAAGACAGTTAAATGTTTTGTTAGGACTCTTCAGTTCCTGCTGAGTTCCTCTAGGATTATCTGTCTAGAACATGGAACCATTAAATTTAGGCTGCCCTCATTCTTCCAAATAAAAAGGAATTCATATAACATCTTTCACAACCCAAAAGAATTTTATGACTAGTGAAGAATGTCTGAAGTGTACTCATTGTTGTAGTGTGGGAAATATAGATGTCAATTCAAACAAAGCAAGGTCCCACATACAGCAATGTTCTTTGGCCAGATAATCTGCATTAATGAAGTGGGATCACATTTTTTTCCCCCCACAGATCTAATTTTGTTTATCTAGCAATGAGTTATTAGGTAGTAAGATTCACACAGAACTAGAAGACTGCATAGTGTCTATGCCAAGCATAAAAAGGACAAGAAAATTAGTGCATTGTTGATTATTCATACAACTTTATTTGTTAAATTGGCTAGTAATACACAATAGAATCTTTACATACGAGTTGATTAAACAATGTTCACACTGCAAGCTATTGCACAATTCTGACAACTGCAGCTTTTGGATTATAAATCCCTGAATAAGTTATGCCCCTCAAAAGTAGCATTGAATACTCAGTATTCAGAGGTTGCTTTTTCATCATACAGAATGTGTTGTCTTGTTTAAAGACAGGCACAGATTATACATTGGATTTTGTGGCTCATCACACCAAGCTTTCACTTCCAATCTGAACCACAACAGTGATCAAAAATTTTCTACAGGCTCCAGGATTGTTTGGCTTATATCACTTGATGGTATAAAAGTGTATTAAGTGTAAGCCAATCTTTACAGTTACATCATTTTAAGTTGTGTTCAGTTTTTAATGTTGTATGGTAAAGGATCAATGTAACAAAACATTTAACCCTTTCCACTGATGTACTTATTACATTCTCCATTGCCAGATTAACAAGATGGAGATATTTAACTGTCAGTATTGAGATATACAGCGATGGAGGAATGGCATTCTCAGCATTAGTACATTTGAATGCAGGTACCATTCTGATACAGAATGCATTCTCTTGCATCCTTAATTTCCTAACCTATCTGGTTTCCCCTTCCTTTCAGACCGGCTTCTTAAAGATCTTTCTGGGCTACAAAGCTTCTGTTAGCTTGGAGACTCTCCACCTTTTGTTCCCTTTCCTACTGAAGTAGTATTGGGTTCTGCTTGGCTGCTCTCTGCAGTACCATGCCAAGCCCTGAAGCTCAGTCCCCAGAAGGGCTTGGAGCCTTCTGCCCACATGGCACACCTTGTTACTCTTTTTGGCTTTTGATTCTCTGCCATACTTTCTACATCCAAGTTTTGGTCTCTTTTTCCATGTCCCATCATTTATAGGCATCATGCATCCTGGTGTCATTTGATTTCATACTGACTACTTCAGTCACAGCAGAAAACACCTCAAGAAGAGACCATCATCTGATCTGTGGAAGAGTAACAGCATTCATGTTTGGTGATGGTCATGGCTATTATTGAGTATGTTTTGGTAGATATCTGACTGAAGGAATCGGTTGTAGCCATTATTTTCCATCAGACTGTAGATTTTCTTCTGCGCAGCCTCAAAGCAAGTGTAGGTTGGATGTTGAAGATTTTGAGTGATTGCCTCTTTGGTGTAGTAATCCAAATTAATCTGTTTTGTTTTTAAAAAAGAAAGAAATTCTTCATTAGTGATTGCTGCACATCAATTAACATGGAGTTATTCTGCAGTAATTATTCGCTGCCTGTTCCTAAGGGATGCCATGATCAATGCTGATGGACCCCATTGCCTTTGGGCATTTCAAGTTAACTGATCATGGAGCAGAGGTGTATCTGTGACATATGGAGTCAGGACTACTGTACATTCCAATGTCCTGATTGATTATTTAGGCATCAATGTCCAAGTGGGGTACAATAGAATAAAGCTATTTAAAATATAAAGGGGAGAATCTCAAAAATTACCTCTTTTGGAGACATTGGTGCCACAAAATTTGTGAAGATCTTCTTTGCTTTGGAGGCCTGTTTTGCAGGCGACTTAATTTTCTTGTATTCCTCACAGGCCAGCCAGAACTCGATGTTCTCATCATTGTACTCTGATTTGAGGAAGGATTTGAAAGCAATCAGGCCATCTAGGGAAAAAAAGCAGAAAGTAAGATGTTACAGACTGATACAAATTCATTCCATTTTAATAATAATACATGAGACTGCACTGACCTGATGAATTTCTAATTCTCATCTATTAACAATTTATATATATTCCCAAAATATTTGATTACTGCAGGATCAAGTCTATACTGGGTGCCAGGTAGCTTAGTTGGGGAAATGGCTGGCACATGGATAATATTAATGCCAACATAGGGTTTGATCCACTTATGGCTTGCCTCCTTGCCCTGTCCATGATATAAATCCCAGCAATTTGCTGTGGCTTAGCAAATAATTTGCAAAGGACCAATCTTCAGGCAGCAAGGAGGCTAATACTTCCTTTCCAAGTTCTACAGTTAGCTGCAATTTTGACATATGCAATACTGCAGAATGCAGAACAGTGTTATTATTCACAATATTAAATATTTGATGTTAATAACATGTTCTTTAAATTATTAGCACTCCAATTGATCTTTATGAAGGACCAAATTGTATTCTTAGAGAGACCATGTGCAAAAGGCAGTGCTGAGAGGTCATTCATTAACAACTGCTTTTGAATTTTCAGTTCTCAACAAACCATAAAATCAATTGTTATCTTGAAGTAGATATCAAAATTCAAGATTTGCATAAATAAGCAAATTCAAATCAAGTCATTGTGCCCATATATAACAATTTTTTCAGGATTACAATATAATCAAAAAGTTACTGAAATGCTTTTACAGATGGTTGATTTTTAATGGGCACCTTTCATTTGAATACTTTTAAAGGGAATGCAAAGCTGCTTGTTGCATTTTGCCAAGAAAGGGATAGTCAACCTCCTAAAGGGGCCTTTTGCAATGAGATAGCAAAGATGCTTACATTTATGAGCCAGTAAGTTGTCCAGAGAATCAGCCCACTTCAATACCTCTTCATGGGAAGGACTGTGGATAAGAGAGAAACAAAATAAATAGATGTCTTCACTTGAGAAGAGGTTGCAAATGTACACTTGGATGGGTCAAATAAACTGAGAGCACAAAGATATTGATAATCACAGTAACTTACTTCAAAGTTAGTTTTGGTGATTCTGATTTGACAGCCACTTCAGAAGAATCAGTGGTTGCCTTGTGCTGATGCAAAAGATGCAAACATCGGTTCTTCAGCCCTTTAATACTGTGAAAGAAAGGTACAAACATTAAGAATGGTGCAGGAAAAGTCACAAGTGGCATTGTGCTTGAATTGACTGCACAGCATTATTTACCACTTTACCCCAAGTTATTAATTCCCAGCTCAACTTTATGTTGGAATGTTACATCTTATTGTACAATCACAAAAAAGTGAGCAACTAGGCAAGACAAAATAAACAAAGTTTGATTCCAAGAGCTATACCTGCCTATTTCCTGCAATTAGCTTTCCACTCAGTATTAAGTAGTGGTATTCTAACAATCAGATTAGGTTTTTTTTTTGATTAAGTTTTTGTTTTCATTAACTGTAAGAATGTTGGCTAAATACAGAATTAAACTAGTGTTTTTTTTTAAGACTGGTAACTCCATCTTTAACTGGTGTTTTACTTATGCATAGAAACTGGCTATCCCCCCTATATCTACCAGTTGCCTTCTGACAGCTCAGCCAAGTGTCCATTATTCAAACGTGACCCTTTTGCTGAGTGTATGCAGGCTACGGAACGATCACAGCCGAGCTCCATCCACTACGCACATAACATCCTTCCCAGCTGAACAGACCGGGCAGGAGCTTTGCAAATACAAAAAAGGTACTGAACATGCAAAAGTTTTTGCGTAGTATGCAGTCGAAAGACAGTACCTTATGCATTTGCCCAAGCGCCTGACATGAGCAACTTTGTTGCATAACGGCTTACAATAATTGAGGCTTCAAAGGTTACTTATTACTTACAAGCTATGCTCCTTCATACTTGGTGGCATCTCGTTCTGCTCCTTGCAGTGATGGTAGTCTTTCTTGTTTAGAGAATGTTCCTGATGAACAAGCAAGATCAGTCCACTCTGCATGTTTCCTTATGCTTATATACTGCAGCTCACTTTTCACAATTAACCACGCACTCTCTACCGAGATCTACTAGCATCTGCCTTCTCTCGTTCCCTGCCTCTATATATATACACATACGCGGACTGACGTTTAGCAAGTGGGCGTGGAATAGCTGTACCTGTTTGTGATTTGTTATTGAACAACAAGTAAGAACCAGATCCATGATAATGGACAGGGAACCCTTATTTAGTACATTGTTGACGTATAAACCTCAGCCGTACTCTGTTTGGACTGCCTCAGGCGAAACAAGATGAGGATTGCATGAAAACAGCAACCAAGGGCACAAGCAATATTTTTGGCTCATTGAGTGAAGGCAAGCATTGTGTAAATAAACAGTCACAGGAAATGAGATTAATAATGTGAGAGTATTAAAACTATGAGAATTCTTTTAAAGATATGATCCCATTTGTGCCAAATTCTTTGACACTGTGGACATGAACAAAACGGCCGGTTCAATTTTAGGCATGTTAGCCGTGAATCTTAACGATAGTGCAGGTTAAAATCGTTACAAAATACAATGCAATACAATTTGCTTTTTTTTTGGAACGGTAGGGACCAACTTCACTTTGCTACCCTCTTGTTTGTGCTGCAGAGGTATTAGTTCATATGTATTTTCAGAGTTTTAACAGAAAGAATAAATCAAAACCTGAGCTGCTCGAATCCTACTTTGTTATTTGTGTGAATTTTTTACTTTTTGTTACCTAAGAGTGGGATTTTTGGACACTAGGCAATGTTGAAGCATTTACGAACAGCTACCTATGATTTACGACAGTGGTGTAAATTAGATTTGATTTCGAGATTTTTTAAAATTTGTGGCTATGTCTATCTTAGACAATTAAAATTGATAGAAAACTGCTAAAAAAAACAATTCCACCAATATTTTAGAGTTATGCAGCACTGAAACAGACCCTTCGGTCCAACTCATTCATGCCAACCAGATATCCTAAACTGATCTAGTTCCATTTGCCAGCATTTGGCCCATATTCCTCTAAATCCTTCCTATTCATGTACCCATCCAGATGCCTTTTAAATGTTGTAATTGTACCAGCCTCCACCAATTCCTCTGGCAGTTCGTTCCATTCATGCACCACCCTCTACGTGAAAAAGTGGCTCCTCAGGTCCCTTTTAATACTTTCCCTTCTCACCTTAAACCTATACCCTCTAGTTTTAGACTTTCCTACCTTGGGAAAAACACCTTGGCTCTTCACCCTATCCATGCCCCTCACGAATTTAAAAACCTCAATAAGGTCATTCCTCGGCCTCTGATGGTCCAGGGAAAATAGCCCCAGTCTATTCAGCCTCTCCTTACCACTCAAATCCTCCAAACCTGACAACGTCCTTGTTAATCTTTTCTGAACCCTTTCAAGTTTGTCAAGTTCTTTCAAAAAGCAGGGAGACCAGAACTGAACAGACTGTTCTAAAAGTGGCCTCACCAATGTCTCCATCCAACATGGTGAGAAACTAGCGAGTTCACAAGTGACTGCAGGTCATCTTCTGCTGCTGTTAATGTCATCCAGTACTGATCATGTTCATTCCGAGAGTTGGTGCTTCTCTCTGCCGATCTAAGTGCCACACTTTAGCATTCTGATTATATGTTGAATCAATTTTTTTTTAAGCAACTGGTATGGTTGTGTCCTTGATGCTTCTGTAAACTGAGAAGTTTGGAAGCAGAGGACTGACTCAAAGGGGAAACTCAAAGTAAGCGTCCACATGAAGATCTGACAAGAGTTACTCAATTTTCATCGAGCCCATCCAGTTACTCTTGTGCATTTCTTTGATCTTTAATCACTTTGGTCTAGAATTCCTCAAGATGCAAAAAGCAGATGGATTTATTTTTTTTTCTCTGTCCTTATTGTCAGCCAAATTCAGGCTGATAACCAACACAGTACTGGAGGAGTGCAGCACTATTGGAGGTCTCAACTTTGACAACAGCTACTAAACTGAGGTGCTGTTGATCTTCATGAAGAATATATAGACTTCAAAGCACTGTTATTAAGAAAGGCAGGCAAGTTTTGACCAAAGTCCAAGCCAAGCCATATCCCTAAACTAACAGCAGGTAGTGCATCATTGTCACTTAGGAGTTTGTTGTGCATAATTTGGCGGCCATGTTTCCTAGATTACAACAATGATTACACTTGGCTGGAAAGTACATAGTCACCATCTCGAGATCAAGGAGACCACTAGGAAAGTCTTACCATTTTACACCAAAGATATTACAGGAACATGGAAGCTGTGTGAATGAGGTTTGAGGTAAACGATTCATTAATTTAGAGCAATGGAGGCGTTGGGCATTCCGAACAAATGCCTATCCAAAGGTCAAAATCAATCTCATGATTTTTAAATTGGGGATCCAGTGGTTTCCAGCTATAACTCCTGGAGATCTTGAACACGAGTGATTTATTTTGGGTTGTTTTCACGTCAGGAGAAACCTCAGTTCTCAAAGGGCAATGAGAATGAGGAACTTGACACAACGAAGAGTGGTTAAACTGAATTGTCAGTGCGTGATTAATGGGGAAGTGAGTTAAGCACATGATCCATGTACATGGAACTTTATAATGACTTTGAGATACATTCCCATGCTGACAGCCATCTCTTATTGTTCTTGCCAGCATTCCCAGAGAAAACAGAGAAGTCCAAAGATGTACAAGTTAGGTGGATTAGCCATGGGAAATGCAGAGTTAAAGGATAGGGTGCGGGGTGTGTCTGGGTGGGATGCTGTTCAGAGGGTCAGTGTGAACTCGATGGGCAGAACAGCCTGTTCCACACTGTAGGGATTCTATGATTTTATGATTCTGTGAAAGATTGGCTTGAAATTAACTGGGATCCACTTACAACTGGTTGTTGACCTATTGGGAATGAAACCTCTACTTTCCCCAAACATGATGTAGAAAATTCAGGAATTGCAAACAGTCAGGCGTGGTGTTTGTCATAGCAGGGGTACTTCACCAATTGAGAATACAGGGTGAAAATCAAAGCCTCAGTTCCTAAAAACACGAAGCACATTTTGGATTTATGGAAATGCTTTATAAAGGTATGGGACAAATAGTGTGGACAGTTGCATTGATGACATGGGGTGGAAAGTAGACCACATGGAACATTAATGTTGGTAGAGTCCAGTTGTTCTATTGCTCTGATTTTTGTGTAAACCGGAGGCTGTACAACTCAGAAAAATAATGGGAATGTACATGACTGGTTGTTTCTCTCTCTGCAGGGAGTGATGCCATATGAAAATGTTGCTGTTGATCGATAAGAATAAGAATAAGGGAATGTTTATGTAGTATGTGTCAATAGCAAATAGAGCAATGCTGCTCCTTCACTTCAATAAGCTATCAGCTGAGGTTCAGTTGGCAGTTCACTTACAAATCACAAGATTTGGTTTGGAGCCTCATTCGTGGGCTTGAACACAAGAATCAAGGCTGGCAATTGAGTTCAGTACTGAAGGAGCATTGCACTATTGAAGGTAGTGTCTTTCAGGTGAGATGTTAAATAGAAGCCCCAAGGAGAGCAAGGAAGTTTTCCCCAGTGCCCTAGCCAATATTTACCCCTCAAACATTATCACAGGAAAAGAGTGGATTATTTGGTCACTGTCATCTTGTTTCTTCTGGGGGTTTGCTCTGTGCATTTTGGGTGTCATATTTCCTACATTACAACAGTGACTACACTTCAATAAAAAGCAATTTATTGGTTGTAAAGTGCTTTCAGATGTCCACTGTTCACTAAAGTGCTACGTAGTCTTCTTAGATGCAATCAGCCTTCTGGCAGTTTGCCCATCTTTGGTGAACTTAGCACTGAGCGTGGATCAGTAGTTTTGCAATCAACATGGGCTAACCCTATTCCCGACCTTGTCGGCTGCTCCTACAAATATAGTGGGCTGATTTACGACGTTCCAGCAGTGAGTAGGAGCTACAAGCATATGGTTACCTCTTCTCCTGTCCCTTGTCACACTGGCTGAAATCACAAGTAAACTATTTTCACAATTGGGAAATATGAATGATCAGACCCAGTGCAATCAAATTGGTCTGCTTCCTTTTCCATGATGTGTGCAATGTTGTAATACTCAGTGATGGTGTCTCTTGAACTGAGGGCTAATATGTATAAATATGTGAAATAGGAAATAGTGGTGAGGTCAGTTCAGGTTGTTGTGTTAAGGATGTTTATAAGATTATTCATACTCGATCCTAAACCTGAAAGGCAATGCATATTGATGAGAGATAGTCCTGTAATTATAAAGGTTTAGCAATTTAATGTTATCCATTGCATAAAAGAGTTTAAGTCTAGAGTGCTTAGCTGTTGTAATGTGATTGTACTCATGTGGAATAGTTTAAATCAAAAGAGGTGTGGCCAGAATTTCACATATAGTCAGTTCCTAACCTTTCTGGAGTCCTTTAAATGTGATGTCTGTGAATTCAAGGCACTTCCCTTTAGGGATGGAGGACCAGATAATGAGTCAATCATGATTGGCCATATCTTGACAGTAGGGAAGGGAACAAAGTGCTGATGGGAAAGTATAACACAATGGGATGGGAAATTGGGGAAAAGAAGGGAAAAATAAACTGAAAGTGAACTTTCCATGCTTTGTGAAAGGATTAGATTGTTGGTCACCTTCTTGAGATAGAGCCTTATATTTAGATAATGCTATTCACAATCTTGAAGTTCTAGTTACAGTACTCTATAATTGAACCTACAGGAATATTCTAGTATTTGCACTTTTTGGCACTGCACAGTTTCTATAGAGTTATGTAGGTCGCTTTTAAAGTCTTAACATTGTTCCCAGCTTGATGCCTCAAATTGGATATAAATAGATAAGGTGAATGGCAAAGGTCTTTTTCCTTAGGGTAGCAAAATTCAAAACCAGATGGAACAGTTTTAAGGTGAGAGGGGAAAGATTTAAAAGGGATCTGAGGGGCAACTTTTTCACACAGAAGGTGGTGCTTATATGGAATGAACTGTCAGAGGAAGTGGTAGATGCAGGTACAGTTACAATGTTTAAAAGTCATTTGGATAGGTACATGAATAGTGAAGGTTTAGAG